TTAGTTATATATAGTACATATATAAAGTTATATAGTTAGTTATATATAGTACATATAAATATAGTTATATTTAATATATAGATATTAAAGAATACTCTTACACATTTTTTATAATTTATTTTAGTGATAGTGAAGTATACATTATTTAGTATATATTCTTTTGCCATTTTTTAACTGAATGAAATGAAATTATATGATGTATGTGTGTCTAAATTTGATATATTATCCGACGAGTAAAGCAGTTCACCAATAATTCTGGGTGGCAGCACTTATATAAAAAAGCCATATTATATATATTTTCTTCAATATTCAAGATGGTTTAAAATCTGTAATTTTTTAATCAATAATTTTTTAATCAATGTTTATGACTTGATCATTTCTTTTAAAAAGTGTTTTTTCAAAACTTTGATAAATATCGATAAAAATCTATTTAAAATAAAAGAAGAAAAGATACTAAATCTCAAAATGAAAAAACACTTTTATTTACGTAAACATGAGAGTTACACTTATCGCTTGAATAAACAAACCATTTCGTTTCATTTATCATCGTAAAGAAACAATTTCATCTTGTTGTGAATGAGGCAACAGGCTGGTTCTAGTTTAGAGCGTGGATAAACAAATTAATCCGAGACGAAGGAAGGTACGTCAATGATGCTCACATGAATGCAACCAATTTTATTCTGTTGTCTGTTACATAGGGGCGGCGCGTTCGCCGAAATATTCACATCCGGTCTCCGCAGATACCGAGAGTTATGTAAGATACTCGTTTTTGAGGCGCTTACCAGACTAATCGGTGCGAGAGAAGTACCGGTGAAAAAGTCAACTATTAACTATTTTCGTGTCTATTTAATAAATATTAGTAACAGTCCGTTAGTGAAAGGCAAGATATTGATATACTGACAATATTTATCTAAACGGGCACGCTTTATCGGGAGATCCCTTATCGCAGGGAGATCTCACTCTCTCCTTAAAGTTTAAACGCGTCGTTAAACATAAACATGAAAATAAATATTAAGATAAATGCGAAGTATCGACATAACTTTTGTAAATACATACGTAATCGAAATGTCAAATCGGAATGTCAAAAATTATATTATGACTGTTTTACAGAATAGGATAGGGAAAAGGAGAAGGGAGGATTTTTGTATCTTCCTCATATACTTCAAAATCATTTTCTTCTGCTTTTTACGCTCTTTACAGAGATTCGGCTTTTTAATGTTTCCTGACACGAAATTCGAGGATCCCGTCGATCGCCCCTTGTTATTCAGCAAGAGGCGCGATTCACAGCCAAGGACTATGCGCAATGATTCATCTCTCACGAGATCAATCTAGCCGGTACGCGTGCGCTCTCGCTATAATAAGCACGCGGACACGGGCGCGAGTTTCATTGAGACATGCGTGTATGAAGACGGGATAACGTAATTAAAAAATCACAGAAATGCCATTATATACGAACAAGGGCACCGCCGTCTCGCGGGAACGGGAAATGGGGATGAGGATGGGTAGAGACGAGGCTCCGACGGCTATCTATCACAATTGAAGATATCTAATGGGATTATATCGTGAAATGTAATAAATAATTCGGAAAATCACTAATATATATATCCGCGTTTCTCTCTATCTTTCTCATTTCATTCGCTTCTCTCACATTCGTCGTCTCATCCATTCGTCGTTTTTTTCGTCCATCCGGGGGTTGGTTTAGGTTTTCGTTTACTTGGCGAATCGGTTGATGGGGAAGTTGTCGAAGATATCGGGATAGCTCCGCGTCTCCAGGCTCTGATGGGGCAAACAAGTGTTCGCGAAACACGTGAGGTTGTCCACGCTGCAACCAGTGCAGCGATTGCAACTGCAGATCAATCCGTCGCCGCACACTCCCCAAGAATCGCTTGGACCACCACAAATATGTCCGGGGCCCTACAGAAAATCGACATCAATAAGATTGCAAAAGTTCATCATACACTCGTAAAATTCTCGACGAATTTCCAAATAGAGACCAACACAACATTGAAGACAAAGACATAATAAAACTTGCGCAAATTTGCGTTAAATTTCATATTAAACGAATTTTATATTAAATAAAAATTGTAGTACAATCCAAAAAACTGACCACAGTTTAGAATATGAAATCTTAAATAAAAATAAAATCGAAAATTTATCTTTTACAGTAAATCTTCACATTTAGAACTTTTTCTCAACACTTTTATCAATGAATGTATATACTTTTAATTTAATTTATACGCTTTTATTGCTGAAATTTTGTAGTATATATGTAACATAAATGCCAAATATATCATCATTTTAAGCGCGTTCTAAATATGAGTCTTTGGATTTTATGATATACAATGAGATACGATTAAAAATGATTTTCTAAAGTGGAACAATGCATTGTACTATTGCTACTTACCCTTCGGCATTCCGAGATACCGCAGAGAGTCGACGTTGTGTAACCGAACTCGCATTGCTCGCATTTGTCGCCACAACCTACGCACAGCGGTCTCGGCTCGAGTCGTTGTGCGATCGCGGGATGCGCGTGGCACTTGTCAATCCTGTAACACATTAGAACTATGTTAATTACGTAACATATGTACAGTATAAGGCCGTTATTCATAGTCAGTCTTTATATTTATGACTATTTTAAGTACAATCATAAGATGTCATGAATCAAATCAGAGCTGAATTAATATCTTAAGACATTACTTAAGACAATGAATAAAAATGGACTATAAATATCAGCCTAAGATTTTACATTTTATTCATTATTGCTCCATTGTTTTTAATGCTTACAGGAAGACCGTGGCCAGGAGAACGAGCATGTAAGTGAGTTGGAAGGTAAGCATAGTGATCCACCGATCTGAAACAGAGACAATGTGCATGTAAATCGTCATGCTTTTTCTTACCGTAGAATTTTATATGGCTAATGTAAAGACGAAATGTAAAGAAATGTAATGAAATTATAACGACAAGATTCTTGTTTGACATTAAAATGCTCGAACAAATGTCTGAACTATTATTTCTCGATGTATCAATCTTTTTATACAAACCTTTTCTTTATCTCAATAAAACATAAATAAGTGATCCTTGTGCCTAGTTGAATAAATTTACAGCTCGAAAAGCAGAGCGTGAATAAA